AAGGTGAGTGGTGTGGCCACAGGGTGACTCAGACCTGAGCCCGCCTCCACGCCCTGAAAGGGCAGCCCAGCACCTGTATGGGCTGAGATGGGGGAGGTGGGAGTCCAGAAAGGGGGGCTGGCTTCCCACCCTCCCTGGGGGCCTTGCTCTACCCCTCCAATCAGCGTGCATGCTCGCTGAGAGAGCTCTTTCCTGGTCCAGCTGCACCCTCGTGACCAGGCCTGTCCCAACCTGGGCTGTCTCCCTGTGGAGCCTTGGCCCAGGGCCGGGGGCTGGGGGTGGGGAGAGGCGTTGGGCTGCGACTCATCACCCACCACTGGCTTCTAGGGGCCCACCGGCTACAAAGGGGGACGAGGAGAAGCGGGCAAAGATGGCGAGAAGGTACCCTGGTGGCAGCCGGAGGGGCATTTGGGCGGCGGCGGCTGAGGGGCAACGGTGGCATCGAGGGCGGGCCTGGCTGAGGGGCTTCTATGGACACGTCCCCAGCAGGCCCAGAGAAGTCTGGTTTCAGCTCGAAGTGGCCCCAGCAGCCCTGCCACCATCCCTACAGCCACTGCCTGTGGGGGCATCTTTTCCTCACCGCAGGCTGGGGCTGAGCCAGGTGCCCTCCAGTACGGAGTGGCCAGACTGCCACCTGGGCAGCAGAGGGGGCCGCCCCAGCCAGGGGTGGCTGGGAGTCTGTCTCTGGAGGCAGGCCAGCATGAGGGGCGGAGCGGGCGGGCATGGAAGGGGTGGTGAGAGCTTGGGGCTGACCACACCACCATCACTTTCTCCGCCTCCTCTGCAGGGTGACCCTGGCCCCCCTGGGTCCCCCGGCATCCCTGGCACAGTGGGGCTGCAGGTGAGTTGGGGAGGGGCTGGACAGGGTGATGGTGTGGGATGGGAGCCCCTTGGACAGCTCGAGGCTGTGGGGGATGGTTCCTTCCTCTCAGGGTGCTGATCCCAAGGGTGTGTGGCCCCACCCCTCGGGGCGGGAGCTGAGGCTGAGGGCTTCTAGGGAAGCCACCAGGGCGGTCCTGGGGGGCTTTGGCTGGGCCTGCATCTCCAGCTCTCTCCCCACAGGGCCCTCGGGGGCTCCGAAGGCTGCCAGCACCCACCCGCCAGCACCCACCCTCCCGCACCCACCCTCCCGCACGTGATGGGCTTTGGGCCAGGCCGTCAGCACAGGCGGTTGGGGGGCCACCTCCAGACCTCCCCAGTGGCCACAGATGGGTGTGTGACTTGGCAAGGCTGCCTCTGAGCGCTCACTTGGTCGTCTCCAGAGCCCAGGTCCAGGAGGATGGGACAAGAGGGAGGCCTGGGCAAGCGTGGAAGGGGGCTTGGGGAACACTAGGTGGCTAACTAAGGAGGGGTCTGCTGGGGGTGCTCGAGGGGCGGGGGTGGTGCTTGAGGCAGGGCCTTCCACATGGAGCAGGGTCCTCTCTGGGATGCTGGCCAGGCTCAGAAGTGAGGCCCAGATGCCCCCTCTTCTCTACAGGGTCCCATCGGGTTTCGAGGACCCCCCGGGATCCCAGGAGCCCCCGGGAAAGCGGTATGTGTGAGTCCTGGGGCTGGAGGGCCCATGCAGGCCCAAGCTCCCTGTTCAATTCTCTCTTCCTCACTCAGACGCCTCCCCAGCCCCACTGGGCTTCACTGTATGTTCCCAGGGCTGAGCCATTCTGCTGTGTGGGCACACCTGGGCATAACCAGTGGGCACACCTGTGGGTACACCTGGGCAGGTACCTGTGGGCACACCTGTGGGTACACCTGGGAAGGTACTTGTGGGCACACCTGTGGGTACACCTGGGAAGGTACCTGTGGGCACACCTGTGGGTACACCTGGCCAGGTACCTGTGGGCACACCTGTGGGTACACCTGGGAAGGTACCTGTGGGCACACCTGTGGGTACACCTGAGCAGGTACCTGTGGGCACACCTGTGGGTACACCTGGGAAGGTACCTGTGGGCACACCTGGGCATAACCAGTGGGCACACCTGTGGCTACACCTGGGAAGGTACCTGTGGGCACACCTGGGCATAACCAGTGGGTACACCTGGGGAGAGACTTTACCAGAGTCGTGGGTCTGTCCTTGATGGAAGATTTGCACCTTCTCTCTCTGGACGGAGTGAGGTGTGGTGGGCATTCTTCTGGCCTCTGTGGCCCTCAGCAGCCTTGGTCCTACAACCTCTGACCACTTGCAGGCTGATCCTGCCAGTCACCCCTCAGTCTAACTCTCCCACTTGCTTGAGTTGTGAACTCTGTCCTTGTCCCCCCTTGTCATTTCAGGGTGACAGAGGCGAGAGGGGCCCAGAAGGGTTCCGTGGGCCCAAGGGCGACCTCGTAAGTGAGAGAAGCTTGCTCCTCTGGGTCCTTCCTCAGAAGAACCTGGCCTGGGGAGAGGGGGGACACACGGTGTCACATGCCAAGGGGCACAAGGGACGGCCCTTTCCTGCCGGGGGGGGGGGGCGGGAGGCACGGG